CAAGCGCGCGACAGGATCGTCCCCGGGCGAGTAAACAAATGGAGCAACTTGACCTGCCGATATCAGCACGGCAGCAGATGCGGTGTGCCTGTGCTGCTGCCACCGCCTGGGCCCGATTGCTCGAGAAGGTACATCCGGTGAGTTGGACACGGGGGCACCCGGCACCGGCATCGCCCAGTGGCTCGTTTGGGATCTCTTGCTAGCAATTTTCTCAGGTTTTGTTATGGCGACCGTACGCCCACGGCGATCTCACACGGATTCCGTCGATACGATACCCACCGGCCACCGGCACAAGAATGATTCCGCCCTCTTCTCTTCCATTCGGGATGATCGACCCGGGATTTCAGAGGCCAGCCCGGGCTCCGGACAGCTTCACGGTCCATCCGGCATCGCGGTCGCGAGCGGGGGCGGGGCGAACCCTTTCTCGTTCCCCACTCACCCCAGTCTACAGATAGGATAGGGGTCTCCTGCACGGCGGCCTCCGGCTCGAGGGGCCTCTGGGATTTGGGTGCCCGTTTCGTTTGCATTTACGCCGAGGGCCGAGGCCGAGTATGCCCCGCCGGCTGTCCTTGCCCGATGCCCCGATCGAAGCCGCCGGCTATTGAAGCGGAAGCGTGGCATGCAAGCGAGCGCGGACCAAGGACGCAACGCACGTACGTACAGTATTCCTACGATCGAGCTAATAAAACGAGGCCGTTAAGTTGGGTACGTGCGAGCAAGATACAGCTCTGCGTGCCGGCATCGGATCGGGCCGGACGCGCACGCGGTACGGTAAGGAAGGTATACCAGGGTTTCTTGCTTCGAAGATGTACCAAACATGTACATCAAGCGGTCCAACAGCTCTTACACTGTTTGGACGCGGCTCTCCGGCGCTGAGCAGCGAGCCCTACTCCTGTCCACCTTTGCATGCTGTGTCATCCAACGTTGCTTGTGTTCGGAGAAACGCGAGGCTAGAGCCCACAGCCCAGATCATCAGTCATCACCGTCTGTCCTCGCCTTCTCTTCTTCACTGCTTGGGAGTTGGGATCCGTTATTCCGTTTCCTCTACGGCGCTCACGCCCAGCAGGCTGCGGGCAACGGAAGGTCCAAAAACTCTTGGCGGGCTCACCTTACTGGGCCTCCAAAAGAAAATGAAAGAAGGTGAAAATAGCTAGGCCTTTTTCTCGGGATGCATTTCACAACTCCGTGCTAATTTCTCATTCCCAAAGAAATATCAAAACCCAGCGCAGTCCTTCATCGGGGGGAAAAAAAAAGCTCAGCGCAGTAGAGCGTATAGGTTAAGGGCCTTTTTTTCTTACAAGGACACACAAAAGTCGAGGAAAACAAAGACTAGTACACAATATAGATAATAAGACATAAAACAACCTTTAAAAAATATGAATACATCAAAAAAAAAAAATCGGTTGTCTTCTTCCTTCGATTATCAACTGCTTGCCGGAGCTTGAAAAACACACTGAATAGATAGCAAAGAAAAGAAATAGCTGCAAACATCCTCGTCGAATATGGTTTTGAAGACCACGAGAGTAACTCGCTGCTAGCAACGGGATCTAGTACCTGGATGGCTGGATGTCTCGATCACTCGTCGTGTCGGAAGGGCACTGCACTCTTATTCACCTGTTTTTTTTTTTTTTTTACAAAATGGCTAAATCATCAATCACGTCCACAGTCGGACAGGTACTGTTTCCACTTGCCTGAATGCATGCTTGCGGCGACAGAAACACATGCATGATTATACGCCCGGTTTATTTAACTTATAAGTTGTACTTTTTCAGCTGATAAATAGTATTTTTTTCATAATAAATCAGTCAACGGTATTTTCAGTCATGCCTTATCAGCTAAGCGAACAAGGCAATAGACAAGACTGGCCCATACTACAGAATCTAATGTTCTATTTAGATTTTATTTTTCATACTAATTCCAGAGAGTACTACTTCCTGTATTTTAAATTATAAAACATTTTTCTATATAAGATTATACATCCATTCCATTCCACGGTGTAGGATGCTGCTCATGCGAGCAACCAAACCGACACTCCGATGCCCGCGGAAACGCTGTTCCACCGCATGGGCTCGTACTCGTACGCACGCCGGACGCCCTCGAACGTCCGTGCGTATCGCCCAAACTGGTCCCGCGAGCATCATCGTCGCGCGCCATCGCGGTTGGGAACGGAGCATCTCGCCGCGCTGAAAAAGGGCAATCGTCCGAGCACCACCGGAGAAGAGAACGTGTGATTAGACCGACTGAACGAGCAGTGAGAATGAACGACACAGGCAACTCCGATCCGAGCAAGATAGGGGTCGCGGACGGCAAAGGTCGAGTGCTTGACTAAAACCCACGACGCGCACAGGCCACATCACATCTATACCCTGGAGAAGGACTGCACTAGGCGATTGAGTGATTGGCTCGATGGTGCGTAGCGGAGCCGACGAGACGTGACGTGCTGAACTGCTGGTGCTGCCGTAGCGGTACCCATATCATCGATGGTTATCTTTAGGATGACCGATTAACCGTGGTCGACGAGCTTATATTAGCCTCAAACCAGCCTAACAATAATTGGCCTCGTTCGGCTTATCTTATATCCGGCTCGTTCGGTTTCTTTTTTCAGCCGAAACAGTGTTTTTATCCCACAACATTTCAGCCAGAACAGTGTTTTTCAGTCATTTTTCAGCGAGTCGAACGGACCAATGTATTTTGTGGAAACTAAAAATCATGGCAGCTCTACCTCTACGGTCTCATGTTCGATCAGGTCAGGAACACAACCCATCCATCCTGAGACCACACACACACAAAAAAAAATCAGAGTGCTGCTTGGGGTGCTTTTCTACAGCATATCAAAGGCAGTGAAAGCTTTATCCTTGAGAAGATCAGCCAAGGATCAGAAATTTCAGCCACTGAAGTTTTTTTTTTCTGTTTCCTGAATTTTTCTTGTGAAATTTTTGTACGGTTCCTATGTTGTTCTTGCATTCCAAATAGATCTTAGCTACTTGATCATCAATCTTCGGTTTAACTCTGCCCATCCCATTAAACCACTCCTTTTTAAAAGAAATTATTGGTCGTTTTGGCTTTACTGGATATATAGCATTCTGTTATGTATATAACTGCATAGTAACTTTGTTACGTACCTAGAAAAATCAAAACAACTTATGATTTTGAACAAAGTAACTTCTTTTTGAGAGCATTTGATCGGCTCGAGTATATTTGCTGAATGGGACATGCATGCATTCAGGAAAGTGACATGTAGTCTAGAATCATCGACTATGATTACCAGTTTTGCTGCGACAGCGGATTCAATTCTAATCTGGATCAGCTTTGAACTTGCGGCATCTGCTAATAATGTGAATTTGAGACCACCTAGAGTTAATTTGGAATCTGAACCTGGCTAGTTTAAGATAAGCTCATCTCGTCGGCAGCATGCATGACTGAACTTTCCTAGTGACACCTAGCTTGTCACAATCTGGAATAACCAGTCATCATCAGCCATCGTTCTACAAGACCCAAACGACACACCGGAGACTTGGACCCGGCCGCCGGCCAGTCGGCAGCATGGATCATTCGCCGACACGATTCATCAAATCATTCACGCATCAACTGGCAGCTGAAAGGATGCATAGACTACAAAACAGCCCAAGAAATTAGCAAGAAAAATGACGGCACTGGAGCATCGTCTGTCAGCTTCTTCTTCCACGTATTCCACAAAGCATTTGTCATTTATCGATACTTTCTCACGAACAAGCAGCTTTGACTGGTTGACTCGTTTTATTTGAGTAGATTTTTCGTCTCTAACGCAAGAGGGATGTACATTGTCTAGATACATTTTACAAGTTCCAGTCTTCTCAGTGTTCTCGTTGGCCAGGAGAGCTGAAGTGGAAAAAAGAGAGATTAGTTAAGCAAACCATGAAACCCTACAGATTTACCTGGAGTTTCTTACGCCCTGTTTGCTTCTCTTATAATCCATCTTTTTCAACTTGTTTTTTAGCCATAACAGTGTTTTTCTCTCACAACAAATCAGTCGGAACAATGTTTCGGCTTATTTTTTCAGCGAGGTGAACAGGGCCTTAATTAACATTTGTGCCGTGGCGTTGTACTTAGTCAACATTTTCAATCTAATAACGAAAAAGAAGGGGTAATCGTCCAAACACCACACGTCCACACATGATGCACGTTGTACTGTACCCACACGGCGCTGTTCATTGTTGCACTGTTGCACAGGAACCGACGGCGACGCAACCTTTGGTTTGGGGGTTTAGTTGGGGTGCATAGTGAAGATTCTCTAATGTAGCATTTTGTTTATATTTGTGAATTATTGTTCAAACATTGACTAATTAGGTTTAAAAGATTCGTCTCGCAAAGTTAAAATAAATTGTATAATTAGTTTTTGATTTTGTCTACATTTAGTACTCCATGCATATACCGTAAATTTGATGTAACGGAGAATCTTATTTTTGTATAGTACATTTTTTCAGGAGTTCGAAGGAACTAAAGGCTTGGTTTGCTTTGCGAGATGCGAAAACGACAGCCACCAAACATGGCGTGGGCGTGTGACATTCCGTACACGCACGGGCGAAAAGGGCCAGCTATCCAGTGGCGCCCTCCGACCCACATGTCAGCGGCACGAAGCCATGGTGCAGTTACAGTGGTACAGCTTACACAGTACAGCCGCGCGGGGCCCGCCACCCGCGGAAGCGGAAGTGAGTGACGTCTCCACGCATCTGCATCCGCCGCTGGCGCTGCGGGGCTTCTCCCCGCCACCGCACTCCCACTCGTCCCGCACCCGCGTTCCCCGTGGTCAACTCGCTACCTCTCCAGCGACGACCGCGAGGGCGCCGAAATAGGCAGGCAGGCAGGCAGAGGCAGGCCACCCCAAAAAGCGACCACCCTGCGCGCACCACCTCGGCTGCCATCGCCATTGCCATACCATGGCAACGCCATGACGCCCCGCCCCGCGGCACGCGCTCACACCCCCACCGCTCCGCCTCACCCTCACCCGCCACCACCACCCCATGCTTCCTCGCTGCTGCCACCGCCGCCGCTCGGGTGCCTTCTGCCTCGCCGTGCTCCTCCTCCTGCACCTGCACCAGCACGCGGGCGCCCAGGCACTCGCGCGGCAGGACGTCGCCGCGCTCCACGGCCTGCGGGCGTCCCTCGGCGTGCGCGCCAGCGACTGGCCCGACCGGGCCGACCCCTGCGTCTTCTGGTCGGGCGTCGCCTGCCGCGCCGGCCGCGTCGCGGAGCTCCGCCTCTCCGGGCTCCGCCGCACCCCGCGCAGGCGCCCGGCGCGCGGCCTTCGCCGTCGACCAGCTCCGCCGGCTCACCGCGCTCGAGGCGTTCAACGCCTCGGGGTTCCCCTGCCCCGGCCGGATCCCGTCCTGGTTCGGCCGCGGCCTGCCGCCGTCGCTCGCCGTCGTCGACCTCCGCTCCGCCCGCGTCAATGGCGAGCTCCCGCCCGATCTCGGCGTGTCCGGGAACCTGACCACCCTTGTTCTCTCTGGTAACAGCCTCTCGGGGCTCTATCCCGCCGTCGCTCTTCTCAATCCCTGGTCTCCGCGTTCTCGATCTCTCCGCCAACAACCTCACCGGCCCGCTGCCCAACGTGTCCTTCTCTGGCAGTGGTGGAGCTGGAGTTTTGTTCAACGCCTCGGGTAATTCCTTGTACGGCGCTATCGGTGATGCCACTGGGTCCCTCAGGAAGAGGTTCTGGGTTGTTGATGTCTCCGACAATTACTTCGATCAGGTGCTTGGAACTGGGTTTCAGAATGGGACCGATGGTGTAGCGGATTTCAGAATGAACTGCTTGTCTGGCGCTGCAAACCAGCGCACCCGTGGGGATTGTGAGGCGTTCTACGCGAGGAACGGGGTGAGTCTAGCGGTGGACCCCAAGCCATCATCGCCATTGCCGCAGCCACAGCCACCACAGGTGCTGCCGATGCCGTCAACGAGCAAGAGAGGGGGCAAATGGAAGTTCGTATTGGCCGGGGTCCTTGGAGGTGCTGCGATTGTGGTAATACTTGGCCTTAGCGCGCTGGTGGTTTGCTTGTTGAGAAGAAGAGGAAGGAGACCGAGAGGAAGAGTGGAGCAGACTGAGGAGGGCATTCGGTCTGGGCGGAGAAGTAGTAGTGTGAATCCCGTCACAATGTCACCCATGGCATCCCCCGGAGCCAGTGGTTCACCAAAGGGCCTCCCTATTATCATAGATGAATTCACCTGTGAGCAGTTGCACCATGCTGCAGGGGGCTTTGGGGATGATAACCTCGTCAAGCATGGGCACTCCGGTGACATGTACCATGGTGTCCTGGAGAGCGGCTTTCAAGTTGTCATCAAAAAGATTGATCTGAAGAGCAGTAAGAAGTGCCAGGGCGAGTTGAGCTTCCTTACAAAGCATAGCCATAGGAGAATCGTTTCATTGCTGGGCCATTTGGCTAAGGATGAGGAGGAATTGCTGGTCTACAAGTACATGGCAAAAGGTGACCTCACAACTGCACTGCACAAGAAGTCAGTCGAAGTTGAACAGGGTTTGCGCTCATTGGATTGGATAACGAGGCTCAAGATTGCAATTGGTGTGGCTGAGGCCTTGTGCTTCCTTCATGATGAATGCAGTCCTCCGTTGGTTCACAGGTATGCTAAGCGTTCTCTTGTTTAACTATTTGCTAATGTATTCCATGAGCTGTTAGTTGATGTATGGTAGTTTTGAAAAATAATTTGTTGCATAAAGTATATGGCTGCTTTCAAAATTAACATGATGGAACAGATAGTAGAAATTACACGTAGCTAAGCCCAACAGATTCCTGCTATTTATTAAATAATTCCACAAGAGGTGACAAGTGGGATAGTGGCAAAAGGTAGTTGTACATTTAAAATAATTAGTAGTTGCACATTTTGGTGGGGGTCCTCCACATGGTCCCTTGTGGTCCTGCATCAATTGGCACACTATGTATTTCCACGAACCATAGCTTAAGGGAAAATAGCATGTGCAGGTTTCCATAGAACCTTCATTTACATGTGAGGACATCAAATCTCAAAGTTGAAAATAAACGAACCTTGAACATTTAAGCTTAGGTCCATTGGTTCCATGTCAACAGTTAATCACTTAATCCTAACATATTTTGGCAATGAAATAGATTGATTGTTTTGTGAAAGTATCATGTCTCTGTCATGGTACTGAAGTTATTGTTTTTATAACATGTCTATTCATGGTATCACCAGTCATTCTAAGAAACTCTACATTTGTATTTTAAGTTTTGGTGTGCTTGATGGCAGTCATTTTTAATTGCAGTTTCCCATCTTGGTTGCCTTATTTTTCTATTTTATATAGTTTTGGTCATGCAATTCTGAATATCTGCAAGTTGTTCAAGTTCTTTTGATATCTTGATAACTGTTAGTGCATGCATTATTATTTCCGACTTATGTCTTCATTGTAAATGTAGAGATATCCAAGCTAGCAGTGTGCTTCTTGATGACAAATTTGAAGTGCACCTTGGGAGTCTGGGTGAAATATGCACTCAACAAAGTGCAGGAAGCCAGAGTTTCTTCTCTCGGATTCTAAGATCATCGAGGTGAGATTTCTAAACCATCCTCTATGCTTTCATTGGCATCAGATCTACATGGGTGTAGAACCATTCTTGCCCCCAGAACTGATTTAATGAACATGCTCTTTTTATAAGGAAAAAACTAGTACGTCTGATCACCTAAATGGTATTAACCTGGCAACTGCATTAGTGCGTTACCACTTACCACAAAAGGAGGCTAAGTAATTTTGGGTCAATGCAAAAACAGGCTACAACTACAAGACTATAGTGCTATCAGGTGCATGGAATTGGAGAATGGAGACCATGTACTGCATTTTCTAACTAGAATCCAGTTTGGCTACAAAAGTTCCTCCCACCAAGAATGTGTAGCTTAATTCTTATCTAGAGAATCCTCATAAGCAGTTTTTTAGTATCACACTTGCAAATTGCAATATTATGTCCCAGAACCACATTGATAAGACATCTGTGAAAATTAAGAGAGTTCATGGTAGGATAATGTACTGATACTTCACCCTGGTTAAACTTCTGGCCTTTTGCCTATCTTAACATATATCGGTGTTCCTGTAAGGTAGGTTAACTTCAACCATTTCCCCTAAGAAAATGTATTGCCAAGCAACACACGTACTCTACAACTTTGAGTTCTATTTATATGATATATGAGGGTCCTTTGCTGACAGTAGTATTTGTTTCTTTCTGGCAGGTCCCTTGACAAGAACATATCAGGTGTGTAAAGCACTCATCAGCTCTCTTTTGTTCAATATTTGCAATCTCTATATATACATTCATGCAACTAAAAGTGCTTGTTGTGCAAAATAAAATTGTGTGTTGTAACAATATGATCTCTGGTTCTCACTTTACAGGTCCACCAGCTAGCTGCTCATACGATGTTTACTGTTTTGGGAAGGTGCTACTAGAGCTAATCACCGGAAACTTTGGTGTGAGTGGCTCAACTGACGCAGATTCAGAAGAGTGGTTAGCAAGAACATTAGGTTACATCAATGCCAATGACAAGGAGGATGTCTCAGGTATTGTAGATCCTACCCTTGTTGTGGATGACGACCACCTAGAGGAAGTATGGGCAGTGGCCATTGTCGCAAAGACATGCCTGAATCCAAAGCCCTCTAGGCGTCCACTCGCGCGCTATATCTTGAAAGCACTGGAGAACCCACTAAGGGTGGTGCAGGAGCAGGAAGAGCTCCAACCCAATCCATCTCATCTCAGAAGTACCCCATCTCACGGCTCTTGGCGTTTTGCCTTCCATGGAAACAAGTACCACGGCTGGGAGGTCATGCCAACGACGGGGCAAGCACTTGCTCAGAAAAATACAGCGAAGTCTCAGGGAACCGAGGCAAGCGATGAGGACGAAGAGAATTCATTCTCATTCAAGAGGGCTTCACGGGAAAATTTCCCGGATCCCATAGAGTTTGAAGAAAGTGTTGTTGTGTAGGAGTACCCGCAGATTAGCAATACTTGGTGTGCATCTCTTTGATGCCTCTAGGTGAAAAGCTGTGTATACAGAATAGATCCTTCTTTTTTCTCTCTTTCCTTCCTTACCTCAGTCATTTGAAATGGAATAAATGGCGCACTTGTTAGTCACCGGACGGCGGTTTACGCCGGCGGCGAGCTGGTGCTTGGCGAGGTGAATGAACAAGAAAAAAGAGACTGGACACAGGTGAATTTGTGTTGCAAAACCGCAACGTTTTCTGATGCACAGTATTCAATATAAAAAGCAAAACTGAGAGGTCATGCCGCCATGGCACGCACGACGCGAGAAGTGTGCGCGTCCATCCCCACGCACCAGCGGCGTCCGGCCATAGCGGCATGCTAACTACCTGAACTACTCGGCGCACGAACACCACAACCCGGTGCCTGTGCGCATGCTCTAACTGAAAATAAACATGCCTATTATTAGCATATAGGAGTAACTAACAAATCTCCTCCTACTCCTAGTATGCCTGCTTTACATGAAGAACACCAAGTCTGGAACGCAGCTCGCAGAATCGCTCTCGTCCCAACGCCTTGGTCAGAATGTCCGCCAACTGCTCCTCTGTCTTGATGGACTGGAGCTGAACCCTGTTCTCTTCAACACACTCACGGATATAGTGAAATTTGACGTCAATGTGCTTATCGCGATCGTGGAACACAGATTTCCGCTGAGTGCGATGGCGGACTCGTTGTCAATCTTCAGTGAGAACGGGCTTGCCTCCTCTCCCTTGAGCTCTGCGAGAAGACGGGCAAGCCAGACACCTTGACAAAGTGCGGTGGCTGCCGCTATGTATTCTCGCTTCACAGGAGGACAAAGCCACCACTCGCCGCTTCGGGACTGCCAAGTGATGATGTCGCCACCGAGGAAAAAGCCAACTCCAGTTGTGCTCTTGCGGTATCAATGTCGCCGCCATGTCATTGTCATTTGAGCCGACGAGTCGAGCTTCTTTCATCCTCGGGTAATGGCAACCGTAGTGCGTGAGTACCAAAGAACATACCGAGTACTCTCTTGATCGCCGTCAGTGCTCGTGATGGGCTTTTTCCATGAAGCGGCCGACGAGCCTAATCGTGCATATGCGAGATCCGGCACTGGAATTCACTAGGTAGCCAGCGATGAGCCGACAATGTTGCGGTACTGGTTGGATCAACAGTTGGGGCGAACTCGCTTGCTTTCGCCTTGATCATTGCTCCATGGGTGTGTGGACTGGGGTTGCAACCAATCAGACCAGCAGACTCAGAATCTTGGCGGCGAGGGCGCCCGGGCGAATAGTGATCCCGGCCTCACTGGGTCACCTCCAACCCCAGATAGTAGTGGAGGAGACCGAGGTCACTCATCTGAAATTTGGACTTCATCTCCTCCTTGAACTTGATGATATCCTCATTGTTGCCGCCTGCGTGATCACCGTGTCATCCACGAGACTCCGACAACCGCACGATGGTCACCGGTTCCACGAAGGTAGACGGCGTGCTCAGAGTGGCTGCTCCTCTGGAAGCCTAGCTCGATCATTGAGGAGTCGAGTTTGGCATACCAGCGCGGGGCTTGACGCATCGTAGAGTGCCTTCACCGGTGGAGCACCTTGTTCTCATGACCTCGCAAAGACTAACCCCGGCGTCGCTCAACGAGACTTGTTCCCGGAGCACGCCATTCAGAACGCGGACTTGACGTCCATGTGGTGTATCGCTTGACCTTGTGAGGCGGCGTGAGCAAGTAATGACCTCACAGACTCAAGCCGCGCCACCGGAGCGAACACTTCTTCAAAATCGATCCCTTGTCGCCGCACGTAGCCCTTCGCGACGAGACGAGCTTTGTGCTTGGTGATCACCCCAGTGGCATCCTTCTTGGTCTTGTAGACCCATTTCAGGCCTATCGGCTTCACGCGTCGAGGAGGATCGACGAGCTCCCAGGTGCCACTGGCTTCGATGGACGTCATCTCATCAAGCATTGCGTGACGCCAGTGTTCATGCTTCAGCGCTTCTTCGAACGACGTGGGCTCGGCGTCGCTCGCCAGCAGGAGGTGCTCCTCCAAGTTCCGGTCGACGAAGCCGGGTGGTGTCGATTCGCCTATGATGTTGTCGACGCGCCGGAACCGAAGGGGAGCCTCGTCGTCGTGGTCGGCGTCCAGCAGATCGCTGAAGCCGGACTCCGGAGGCGACGCGAACTCAAGGGCTTTGCGATGCCGGGCTCGGTGTCATGACAAAGCGGTAGACTTGGTGGAGACAATGTTGTAGCCATGTTCCCGGGTGATGGCGATGTCGACGCAGGGAAGCCGGTGAAGCGTAACTTGCTGGGAGGCGTACGATGTCACCGTGGTGGTGATTACCGCAGTTCCCCGGTCGGCTTCTTCGATGATTTAACTCGCCGCGTGCGGCGTCGTCGGTCGGCGCCCACGCCCATCGCGGTTGTCTCGTCGAAGATGATGTCGCGGCTTATGTGAACACGCGCGCGTCACGGGTCGCATAACACTTGACGCCTTGGACCCCGGTTCGTAGCCGACGAAGACCATGCGCTTTGCTGCGGTCGTCCAGCTTCTTCGGGCTCGGCGTGGTCACCTTGACGTGGGCGACGCAGCCGAACGTGCGCAGGTGATGAACGGCCGGTGTGCTTCCGGTCCACAGCCCGTACGGCGTCGCCCCTTGGTTGGCCTTGCACGACGTTCGGTCGGGAGAGGTAGACAGCAGCGGTGGTGACCGCTCCCCGTAACACGCCAGCGGCGCCTTGTCCTTCATCATGCTTTGCAGCGCCGTCCCCCACGACGGTGCGGTTGCGACGCTCAACGACACCGTTTTGTTGCGGTGTACGGGCCGTGAGTTCGCGCCGGACCCCGAGGTGGACGCAGAGTCGTTGAAGTCGGCGCCGCGAACTTCGCTTCGCTGATCGGTGACGCAGGCGGCAGCGGCTTCTTCCGGACTTAGCCCTCTGCCGTAGCTCGGATGTTCTTGATGGCTGCGGCTGCGACATCCTTGCTTGGCAACAGAGCAATCCACATGTATCGTGAATAATCATCAACAAGCAACAAAAAATACCGATTGCCGCTTGGTGTTGCCGGTGTGATGGGGCCGCAGAGATCGCCGTGAAGGAGCTGCAGAGGTTCCGTCGAACGCCTCAGCGCCTTCTGCGGGAACGGGGCTCGGCGCTGCTTGCCGGCGAGGCACGCGTCGCAGAGCTGTTCCTTCTGGTTGAGTGTGGGCATACCCCGGACAAGCTCTTGCCGAGCCATCTTGCGAAGCGCGGTGAAGTTGGCGTGCCCAAACCGAGCGTGCCATGTCCACGCCTCGTCATCGGCGCGTGCGGCCAGGCAGACCGGGCGTGCAATGTTGACGGTGAGAACGTACAGTCTGCCTGGGCTCCTTGGGATCTTGGCGAGCAGGCGTCGCTCCTCGTCGCGGATGCGCATGAAGCCGTCCTCCACGAGCACTTGGTACCCGGTCTCGCCGAGTTGACCGGACGGAGATGATGTTGGCGGTGATGCGGGAGGTAGTAGACATTGAGAGCGTCTGGTGCTCCCCGTTCTTGCCGGTGAAGAGGACGGTGCCGCCGCCCTCGACCTAGCGGTGGAGCCGTCCCCAAATCGGACGGAGCCATGGATGCTCGAGTCGAGGTGGGCGAAAGCGGCTTTGGACCCGGACATGTGGTTGGAGGCACCCGTGTCCGGGATCCATCGCGCGGATCCGGATCAAAGCGACCCGTCAAGACAAATAAGACCTTGGGCTCGTTGAGGTGGACGTCGACGACGGATTTGGGGCGGCGGCGGCGGCGGCGAGTTGGGGAAGATTGACGGAGAGGGAGTCTGGTGCTGTCCCCCTTCCTGGGCTGAGGCGATGGCCATCATGAGTGTGCCCAGTTCTTCCTCTTGGGCCACATGGGCTTGGTGGGCCGGTTGTTCCTTCTTCTTGGTGTAGCAGTCGCTGGCCCAGTGGCCTTTCTTGCCACAGCGCGGACACGGGTCATCCGGCGGCGGGCGCGACGAAGCTGGAGCCGCCGTTGCCACGGTATCGCGCCACGTCCTTTGCTGCGCTGCCCTTGCCGCGTCTCGCCAGAGCTGTAACCGCCACATACGACTCGCCGGACTTCTTCTTGTACCTCTCCACCCATTGCTCCTCCGTGAGAAGTAGTTTCCCGCTCGCGGTGTTAGCCGGAGCGGGCACGACGTCGTCGGCCGCCTTCAACCTCCCGGTGACCTCCTCAATTGACAGTTGTGAGATATCGAGGAGGGTTTCAATGGAGATTACCAACTGCTTGTAGCGTGGGCGGACGACGCGGAGGTACTTGGCGACGACCTTCTCGTCGGGCTCCGGGTCGCCGAGCGTGGCCAGGCGCTGCACCATGCTGGAGAGGCGCAGTGCAAAGTCTTCGATGGCCTCGCCGTCCCGGAGTGCGATCGACTCGTACTCGGCGCGGAGGTTCTGCGCCGTTGCCTTGCGCACCCGATCGTCGCCGATGCGGAGGGTGCGGATGGCCTCCCAGGCCTCCTTGGCGTTCTTCTTGTTGACGAGGACGGGGATCATCTCCTCCGGAACGGCGCTGCAGATGGCGTCGAGCGCGTTCCGGTCGTCGGTGAAGTCGGCGTCGCCATACTCCACGGCGTCCCAAAGCTCTCGGGCTTCCATCCTGAGCTTCATCCGGAGGGACCACTCGTTGTAGCTCGTCTTCGTGAGTTGGGGCCAGGTGCCGCCGCTGCGGCCCTCCTTGATGATGCGCTCGACGATGACTTCACGATGCCCTCGGCTCCGCCCACGACGCGAGTCGCGGGTGCGTGAACGCCGCGGTGAGCGACGCGTTGGTGAACGGCTTGGAGACGGAGAGCGGCGCGGAGTCCTGCTCCCAGAGCCCTCCGGTTTCTCCTTCTTCTCCCCAGAGCTGGGGCGACTGCGGCGCGATGGCGGTGAAGCCATGGCGACGCTGCAGGTCCTCTCAAACTTCTCGCTCTGATGCCACTTGTTAGTCACCGGACGGCGGTTTAC